GGGGGGGCTGATTTTAGTGAAAATGTATGGACAGCACAGCCGTCAGGGTGTCTTCTTATATCACTATCCAATGTGAAACGCATCTAAAAAAAATGAATTTGCTGCTAATCGGAACGATATGTAAAACACCAAAGAGTGAAATTATTTGAAATAATTTTTTACGTTTGTTCCATGAGCATCCCATAATTTAAGATGGCTGCCGTATCAGGAAAAGATCCATATTCAGGAACATATCACTCATGAATGACCTTTCTCGAGTTTAGTCCTTACCCACCACCTTGACCCATATGGGACCTTATTGACGATCACCATACCTTTTGATTGTTGCAAGTTGTATTATATCCATTATTAGCAGACTTTACATGTCTTTTTGCACAGAGCCTTCACGGTTGAGTGTGAGCTACAGAGACTGATCCACCCAGGACATGCTGCGTTGTCGTCACGGCAACCACCTTTTTGTAATGGATGAAAAAAATTAGAATCAATGCTTTCCAGTTTTGCCCACGTACTTCTCACTCACATGCCCTAACACTACGTTTGTAACTCTCTACGTACGTACAACTCTCAAGTATGTATCGAGTAACACCATACCTGGTGGCGGTGGTTGTGTATGAAGTGGTCGTTGTGTTGTCACTACTGGAGGGCGAGTGACAGACCCTCCTCCTCCTCCTCCTCCGCTACACTTGTACAGAAGATTCATCTGCTTTGCGTCCATGCTGCTAATGCCATTTCGCTGACCGATTGAAACCTTAAAATGTGTTCACAAATCAAAATAAGACCCTTTTTATGGAATCAAAAGTGGTATAATGGTAGTGCACTCGCCTCCCCTCTGGGGCCGGTTTGACTCCTGGACTTGGCATCACATGTGAGTAGAGTTTGTTAGGTGTCTCCCTCGATTTGCGGTTTTTCTCCAGATTCTCTGGTTTTCCTCTCTCCACAAATCCCGACAGGTTAAATTCCAATTGAATCTGTGAGTTAATTAGCCGTGCCCTGACTTTGATCAGCTCAGAGGTTGTTTCAGGGTTCAATCTGTGAGTTAGCCGTGCACTGACTTTGATCAGCCCAGAGGTTGTTTCAAGGTTTTTGATCTGTGAGTTAGCCGTGCACTGACTTAGATCAGCCCAGAGGTTGTTTCAGGGTTCAATCTGTGAGTTAACCATGCCCTGACTTAGATCAGCCCAGAGGTTGTTTCAGGGTTCAATCTGTGAGTTAACTAGCCCTGCCTTTGATCAGCTCAGAGGTTGTTTCAGAGTATCCATAAAATTTGAAAATTCTTCAGAAGTTTATCAAGTTTTCCAATCTTACCCCTGATTGCTTTACATGAATGGTTGGATTGCCATTCTTGCTGAACGATGTCTTTCTGTAGTGCATCACCGATCCATAGTCATATGGAGTTCCAAGAGAATCGATCCTTGACCTGGTGTACTTATTGAAATTATGCTTGTTTCCTAATGCATTAGAGAATAAAAAGTGTTAACTCGACATAAGGGAAAAATGCAAGGATAAGATACAGTGTTTTGCCACTTGCTACCACACCCGAAGTTAAAGAAAAACTTTTACGCATGCGCGCATTTTAGCATATTTTCCTAGAATTCACGTGTGAGCGCTTTATTTGAGAAAACAAACATTTATCTTCGCCAAACATAAAACAATTTCTTAAGCATACTTTTGTGAGACGATAAAACTATATTAAATAAACATATTAACTAAATTACCTTAAGTTTCAAGAAATTATACTTAACATTTTTGGAATTTTCTAAAGTCTATTTATGTGGCAAGTTTGCATATTTTTGCAATACGAAAAAGGCGTTTTGGACTAATTTGCATACGGATTTAGAGCAGGCATAAACGTTTTTCACTTATATCCAAGGCGATAGCAGTGATGGCTACTTGTATGCACAGAACCCATCTGTTAGTTGTAGCGAAGCAACGCCATCTTACTTACGTTCTTTAATGTTGTCCCATAGAATAGTGACGTAGTTGTCACGGTCAGGTCTCGACTGTTCGTGATAGAAACCTAGAGCATGCCCTATATGCGTATCAAACAAAGATTTGAATTAACTTCATGCACGAGAAAGCATGCTCCGATTGGCTAAAAAGTGAGTTCATATCTATAAGTTAAACCTATTTTAAAGAAGGTGGTTGGATCCAAAGGATCAGATATGGGTGATAGACGACTTAGATTAGCCCAAAATGGTATCGATAAAATTTGAATTCTTTTTTGACGAAGTATATAAGCACTTGCCAATCTCATGTGCTACAGTTCCCACTCTCCAGCATCCCGTAGATAATGTTATATCTTGTCTTCCACCTCTCCTCCCAACGTACGAACGACACCTTCGCAAAAACACAAAAGTTAGTAACCTTATTCGAGAAAAAAAAAAAAAAAGGAAAAAAAAAAGTAAGAAAAAAAAAGAAAGAAAAAAAAAATTGAACAACAGCTCCTTAAAACATGCAAAAAAAAAATGAGTAGGAGAAACTGCGTTCTTGAAGTGCAACCACTACTCAAAATCCCTCCATGTTGGTTGTCCTCACGTGTGCCTAACATGTACAAGGTCCCGTGTTCAGGCCCCAGCGGAAACAGTTTTAAGTTGAAAAGGTAGTAGGAAACTGTTGTAAAATAACTTTTTCTCCCTTAATTTGAGGGTTTCCTCGGGGTCCTCCTGTTTTCATTTCTCTGCAAAACCTAACACGCTCGCTAACACGAGGTTGTTTCAAGATTACATCTCTGAGTTAGCCATGCCCTGACTTGATAAGCTCAGAGTTTGTTTCAGGGTTCGATCTGTGAGTTAACTTTGCTCTCGGACTTTGATCAACCCAGAGGTTGTTTCAGGGTTAAATCTGTGAGTTATCCATCGCTAAGTTATTGACAGAAAAAGTTTGAATTTTGGTAATCATCTTACCCTGGGTTGAACTTGAAAAACACGTAGTCTTGCTCGTTGGTTCGCTTCTTGAACCGGATGCAGGTTTTAGTTGTCCATTCCCTCATTCCCGCGTCAATCATTTGCATTGCTCGCTGATTATTGGCTAATATCAACAAATAAGAAACAATTGCTATATATATACGTATATATGTATCACTCCACACCCTGCTTTTTTCAGTTAGTCTTGCCCCTATCTAGCTGCAGAGCGTTGAACGCTGCGCGCAAAGCAATGGTTGACAAAATGACCGGCCCTCGGCATTTTTTGAGCTTGAAAGAACAAAGCAAACGTGGCGGTAAAGTAAAATGGTTTTTTTCTGCCTTTTTATATTTCTGCTCCTGGTAGGCACGTACGTATATTATATCTTAGTCAGAAGAAAACAGAAAAATACGCAAAAGTTGGGTTACAGTAGCCTAGGAATGAGTGCCGGTTGCAAAACAGCTTAAACGCGCTGCATGTGATTGGCTGAAACAAAATTCGCCACTTAGCTGGATGGTAGATAAGCCCAGAGGTTGTTCAAAGGTTGCTAAAATTCTAAAAGTTCTATACCCCCATTCACACCTAAACGTGTTTAGTTAAACTATGTTTTCATTAGGAAAAAAAATTGAGAAACTAGAAACCTATAATATAATGAAACTTTCTAAAATATTGTTAGAGCAAGACAAAGGAAGTTTACATGCATTATTTCACCAAAGATTGTGCTGTGTTCGTAGATAGTTTTCCAAACCTGTTTAGTTAAACTATGCACTTTTAAACATGTTTAAGCCTTGGTGTGAATGAGGTACTAGTCACCTACCTAGATAGTCATCAATCTCATAAGGCATTAGACCTCCTGGCCACTGTCTTCCTATCACCGAACCACGTGCAACAGCCGCATCAACGTCACCTCCGTTCAGAGCAGCCTGCCTCTGTTCAGGAGTGAGTAACATATCTCCCTCAAAAAGATCTGGATCGTTGATATTCTCATTTTCTGTTGAATTTCAAGAAGATGTTTGTTTTAGAAATTCGTTTTACATAAAGCCTTTACTTGTAGAATAAACAGCTTGTATTTTGCGTTTTTGTGTGTGTGTGTGTGTGTGTGTTTTTTTTTTTTTTGTTGTTGTTGTTGTTGTGGTTGTTGATATTTTTCAATTCCTTTGCTTCTTTCCCGTGAAACACTTTGCTACGTGTATATGGCAAACACAAACAAAAAAATGACTGAATATATTTGTAATAGCTACCTTCAGGATTTGAAGCCAAACTTGAGCCAACAAGAACAGCGATTATCAAGATCCACTTCATTTTGAGCATAGAGTAAAAGTAAGTTGTTCACTCTAATATTGGTTGGTAAGAGAGGGTCTTATATAGGCGATACAACATCTGCAAGCTTCGCAAATAAAAAGTCTAGACTCAAAACAGAGCGAAGACACGAAACATCACAGTAAAGGTAGTGTCGTTGGTGTTTGCATAGGTGTTAGACGTTTTAGATGCGAAATCATCGAGAACCAGGAATCGCGAAATCACGCCCAAGCAAGTGCATGTACATAACCATAACAATCTAAAGAGATAAGGCTTCCAAGACGATGCATAAGTTTCTTCAAAGGCTTCCATGAATGAAAGCTTTTTTTTGTCCAAAAATACAACTAAGGAGAGCATCAAATATTAGACAATTTATAGAATAAAAAACAAACAAAAAAAGAAAACGTTTTTTTTTTTTAATAGAAAAGAACGGCTACAAAGTAGGTTCAAAGGAAATAAAAAATAAATGCGTTGAAACAGGAATTTTCTCTTCCATGAGCCACAAATACCTCGAAGGCAAAAGTTTAGTAAATAACAAAAAGAAACCTGACAAAGATACGCGGAAAAAACCCGAGGCAGAGTACTTAATGGTTAAACAGCTGTATTTCAATTTTTTAGCCTACTTTAAAAAACATACAACAAAAACTATTCTGTTTGACCAAATGCCTTTGTAAAACCTAAACATTGACTTTTAAGGGATACTTCTAAATCAGGTTAAGGGTCTGGTGGGGGATACTTCTAAATCAGGTAAGGGATACTCCTAAATCAGGTGAATGGATACTCTTAAATCAAGTGAATGGATACTCTTAAATCAGGTGAATGGATACCTTTAAATCAGGTGAAGGGAGTATCCCTTCACCTGATTTAGATTTATACTTATTTCAATAAAGTTTGTCAACAAAAACCTAGAAAGCTGTGATCGCTGAGAATCATGGGAAATATTTCATATCCAACAATTGAAGCTTTTGACAAAAACTGCAGCAGCTGAGGATGCTCAGAGGTCAACTCGTAACTAGTAAAAGATCTCAAGTACATCCACAGTTATCAAGCGGTTGAAACATGTAAAATGTATCTACCCATAATCCTTGTCGGTCTTAGCTTTGTAGCTTTTCAGTTGTGACTACCTTTATTGAAATAAGTGTATACTAGGAGTGTCCATCCCATCTAAGTCGCCATGGTCCGGCTTAGTATTATTAATTGCCGTTGACCCTTAATCTATGACCCTGAGGGGAATAATCGTTTTAGTATAATTTTAGACTTGAGAAGTAAGAAATAAGGGGGAAAGAAAATCTTAAAACGGGCTAAATTCAAAAAATAACCACACAGAGCGAAAGAAGTGCTATTTCTCAATGATCGGGTAAAATTTCGAGGCTTTATTTCACGTTTCAATGATTTCATTGAACGTTTTGATAAATCCCCATAAATTTCCTTTTAACAGGACACCACAGAAACCAAGCTTGGGCTACCTGTGTTACAAGAAGGAAAAGAAATTGAAAAAAAAAAGAAAGAAAGAAAAAAAAGAAAAACGAAATTCAAGATTTATACTGAAAAAAAAAAAACGTTTTAGTATTTTAATATTAATATTTAATATCAAAATACTTCCGCGATAGCAAACTTTGGAAAACTTCAAAATCACAGAATTACTTGTAGCTCGACCAATCACAGCGCGATAAACTTTATATTCAAATCTAATTAAATTCTACTAATTACAGATACTATCGAAAGTCCGCAGGATTTCAGAACATTGCCATTGTTCAAGTTGCACATTCTTTACATTAAAGTTGACTTTTGCGAATTATTAATGTGTACAAATTATTTTGTATAAACAAAGATTACAAATGTGTATTTATTGGTACGTGAAAAAGAATTAAAATATTGTTGAGTCAGAATGACCTCACGTGATTGGCTCAAAGCATTTGATTGACAGAGAAAATAGCACTTTTTTGGTATCGAAGTCTGGTTTCTGAGTGCAAAGGTTCACATGTCAACATCTCTGAAAAAAAAAATTTTTTTTCTCCTCTTTTACAACTTTTATGGCACAAATTATTTCCTGAACATGTGGTACAAGGATAAGGGTTATTACAAGCTATATATCTTCCCCTCTCTTCTACAGGTGAGKGAAAAATAACGTATAAGTTTGCTTTCTTTCAAGCTACGCTTCGAAGATAATTCGATTTAGTAATTTTTTTAACGACAAGCGATGTGTAGAATCAGTTATTCTTTCATTGACGATTTGTGTTACGAAGTAGGATGATAAATTTAGTCCAACTAAACTTTCGTTATTCAATACAATCTTAATAACCTTTTTAAGTTAAAAAAATTTTGAAGCTTTTTAAAACCGTCCTTTTTTTAAAGCTTGTTCTGTAAACTTGAATGTCCTTGAACAAAAGTGCACATGGCGGGAAAATGTACGGTGAATTAAGATTTAAAGAATGAAGTATAAAAAGAAAAATTACCTGTAAACAGTTCAAGGAAAACAATTCTTTTATAAGATCATTATGATAGTGGAATGTTGATGAAACAAAGTTTTAGAAAACGTCGAGCGTCCATCTTCTCGACCATTCCAGAAACCGTTGCTAGGGAGACGACTGTAAGGTAGTGAGAATCTGAAGCAAATCAGGATCGCTTTCCTTTATTTCTTAAGTATTTTTGAATTCAAAAAATACTGGAATGCGATACAAAACGTTTCGATTTTAAGCCGCGACATAGAGCCTATACAGAATATATTTTCTCCCAACTAATTGCAAATTTTAACCCGCATAATATTTTAAAAGAATATTCAAGTGTGGAATTCAATGCGTTTGTATGGTTGAAGTTGTAAATTCTTTAGTTTGCCTACTTTTTTTTTACTTCCCGATTGTACCCGAACCCATAGCCTTAGAATTCGATGTCCAGCGCGCTAATCTATTGCGACACGGACGAAATGATAATGATAATGATAATGATGATGATAATGATGATGATGATAATGTTGATGATGATGATTTTTTTGTTGTTGATGATGATGATGATGGATGATGATGATGATGATGAATGATGATGATGATGACAATGATGATAGTGTTGATGATGATGATGATGGATGTTGATGATGATGACAATGATGATGATAAAGACAATGATGATAGTGTTGATGATGATGGATGATGATGATGATGGATGATGATGATGATGGATGATGATGATGATGGATGATGATGATGATGATGATGACAATGATGATAGTGTTGATGATGATGATGGATAATGATTATAATAATGAAGATAGTGTTGATAATGATGATGATGAAATGATGATGTTGAACTTTATTAAGGTTATCATTGTAATGTCTGTAGTAAAACACATTCCATGACACCGTCGGAAAACACAAAGTTAAAAAAAAACGTCTATAAAAAATATTTTTTCGCAGGAAGCTATGAATTCCGTTAATTGTTAATTATCTCAATCAATGGAATCCTCCATCTTACCAACCGGGATTAATTAATCAGTGAAATTGTGCATTTTCCGAGGTATTTTTAGAAAAATGGGGGAATCTCTCAGTCCAATTAAGGCACTTATGTAGTCTGAAATGGGAAAACATTAATAATGATGATGATGATGATGATGATGATGATAATTTAAATTATAAACTTTATTGACAATAATAATAATAATAATACCTATTTACAAGTTTAAAAATATATTTACATGTTGAGGTTGATTCAGATAAGGAATTATGTATATATATACATGAAAATTAAAATAATTATTCAAAAGTAAAACAAATGTGTCTATATAATAATATTGATAATGATAATAAAAAAATAAAAAAAATAATGATAATAATAATAATAATAACAATAATAATAATCCAACTTTATTTACTGAGGCTAAAACACTTATAACAGTCAAACTTTCAAGAATTTCCAAAAACGAGGGGTTTTCAGCGCCACAAACTTTGCATTAACCGACAAAGTGAAATTTGTACACTTCTCACGGCTAGTAAATGGAATTTTTGGGATAATTAATGATTTATTATTCTATTTAGCTCTCTTTTTATTGATATAAACTTAGCACGGGCACACATGCTCAACACTCAAAAACGTAGCTAAAGTCAAGATTTATCTATTGTACTTAGTCTCTGCTAAGAAAATGCTAATCAAAAATAGTTGACCCATAATTACTTTCGGTGAACGTGTTCAACTCATGTGGTCCAAAACCTGGTAATACACATAGGTTTTGATCACTTGAATTTTTTTTATTCCAATAAGCAATCTTGCACGTCAGGCATTCGCTTCTTTAGTACTCTACGTTTTATACGGGCTGCAGCAGCATTATCAATCGCATCACAAATCCCAGCACGTCTTCCTCCAAAACGATGAACAGGAGTGGAAGCTGCAACAGGTAGTTTAAAAGGTCCTTTGCAGTCGATGCTTGAGTATGCATTGGGTGCTTGACCCTTTGATTTGGCTTTAGGACAAAGTTCTGCTGATCGTCTGAAAATTAACGATATATATACCTTAAAACCATGAATTTGATATTAGAGATGTAGTTATGTTTCACTAATCACGGGGACAACCGAGACAATGGTATCAATAAGATTAATCATGACAACTATCACAACGACACGAGTGAAAAACGTCTGTGAATGCTCTGAATCCGTATGCAAATTAGACACAACATAAGTAAATTTGACTTTGAAACATGCCTGATAAATTGGACTTCACCAAATGCCAAAAAGTAGTGTCCATGCTTGAAACTTAAGGGCAATTCTTTCATATTGTGTTTGTTAATACAATATCTTGGTCTGACAAAAGTATACTCTCGAACGTTTTAGTATACTTGGAGAAAACAAACATTTATTTTCTCACTAAAACTCTTCAATATTCTTAGAAGACGTGGTGAAGTGCACGCATGCGCAAACGTTTTTCTCTAGTGTTATCACAACTATCAGTATGATTGAACATCGGGGCTAATGGAGGAGAGCGGAACATAAGGGATACATATATATATATATTTATGTATATATTTATA